TTTAGCACTGTAGAAATTACAGCCTTCAAATACAGCAAAATTTAACCAAAGAGAAAAATTCAATCCGACCCACGAAACCTGTTGTTTCATTATACATAAATATCTTTAGGAAGGTCAAGGAAACAAAGTACATCAATCAGCTGTGATACTTGACATGTAGGCTCTTCACGCCAATGTAAGTAGGGCACAGTTGTTATTTACTCCACAAAAAGGAAATGCAGAAGTCAACTGAAGGCAGTAAGGCCCAGTCAAACTGATGTATAGTATGTGATGATAAGGGGCGTATAGTATCTAAAAGTGATGTTTTGAGAGTTATAACTCAATAATAAAAGGCCACATTCAGGCTGCTGAAGGTATGGGAACTATCATCAAATGCTGAATAATCATTCAATTTTTAAAAAATGAAATAACTCTTGTGAGAAACAAGTACTACATAAACTGCTGCTTTACCTTCATGACATCTCTATATGACCGAATAGCTGAGACCTTCCTCTTTTCATTGTCTTCGTCTTCCAGGCCTTCATCTGCAGCCTCATAGCCCTCATCGTTGCTACCATCGGCTTCTACCGTGTTGGCCATGTGATCGATGAGCTGCTCGAGGGGAGGGCTCAATTCCCTCTCTTCACTCTCCTTCAAACCATAGTCCAGTGCTTTATAAATAATAATCCCCAAAGATTCAATAACCTATGAACATTAAAGATGGTGGTTAACAGAGATGACTAAATAGTTTTAACATGCATAAAAATTCAGTATGGTATTTAAGCTTGGTTTCATTTATTCCATTTCAGAAACATGTGACAAATTAGATTTGAAAAGAAACTTAAGTCTTACCTATGCATATAAAAAAAAATTCAGATGAAAATACTTGCGTGATTTCCCTTTAAAAGTACTCAGGCATTCACTCAAAAAATCTCCACAAAATCTGAAATCTACCTTAACCAAATGAAATAATACTTTCTCAACACTAGTATTTGAAATGAATATAATGCTTAAAAATTCCTCTAGTTTTAAAATAATGCTACTTTTTAATATTTCTTATTGAAAACATAAAATATTTTGGGGTTTTTATGGTCTGACCTGGAACTCTAGCCACTATTTTCAAATCATGGATTCAAACAATGGATGTTCTAAGTTCGAGGCAACTGACTATCCTTGGGCCACCCTTGTTGATCCCTGGACGCGCCCCTCCCCCTCCTGCCCCGTCCACCACGCTGCTCTGCAGAGGCTGCCCTTTCACACGCTTCCCTGGCGGAGGGCGCGCCCTGCTCTCACAGCACATACCACTTTCACCACAGGCAGGTAATGCCCAGGGCAGGGATTTTAACTTTAATTTCTACGACAGCAGAGCCTAACATTGTGGTGTGCACTCAACGAAAACCTGTTGGTTTTTGTTGTGGTTGTCGTTTTGTTTTTGTGAGACAGGGTCTCACTCCGTTGCACAAGCTAGAGTGTAGTGGCATCATCATGATTCACTGCAACCTAGAACTTCTGGGCTCAAGTGATCCTCTTGCCTCAGCCTATCGAAGTGCTAGGATTACAGGTATGAGCCACCAAGCCTGGCCAAAACTTGTTAAATTGAACCTAGAACAATCACTTTAACAATCAGAGCACCATGCTAACATAATGAAAACCTTAGAAATCAAGAAACATTTGAATTATGTTCAGTATATTCTTTTTAAGGCTAGGTCTTGTTGCAATTATTCCCACTTAGGAGTCAGAGTTACATGAGAATCTTACATGACTAGATGACTAACCATCTATACAACTCTATCCCTTCTTTAGAGCTGCAGAAAAAAAGAAAAGAAAAACCACAAAACCAGTGCAAATGGCAATACCAAGGCTAGTTTTCAACCACAGCAGTGACCCCAAGGGCTGCTCAGCAAGCTTTGCTCTTTTCCCTGTTCAGCCACTTTGCCTGTAGGAAACGACCCATTCTTCAAGAAGCCCTTTTATAGTTTCTTTCTCTTTAAACCTCCAACGTCCTTTTCCACCTCTCTAGGGCTCAGCTCAAAATAAACACACTTATTTTCCTATTTCAAATGTAGAAACTGATAGGCGGCTACACTTATTTGCCCTTCCTTCCTTTCATAGCAGAGCGGGCAGGGTCTCTGTTCCTATCTAAGGCCAGTCTTACCCACCCTGACCTGCTCACGCCCCTGCAGCTGGAACGCCATTTCTGTGCTCCCTTTCCCAGCAAAACTCCTCAAAGGGGTGTCTGTATACACACTCACTTCCCTTCCATCACACTCTCTCCCCTTCCATTCACTGTTTAATCCATTATAATCTGACATCTGTCCTTCTGAACTGAAATAAACACAAGTCACAAAGTCACAATCAACCCCTATATGCCAAATTTAATCCATTCTCATCCTAAATGACTGCTCAACAGCATCTGGCACAACTAACTCTTTTCCTCTGTTCTGAACACTCTGGACTTCTAGATTTCCTCTCAGCAACTACTTCTATTTTTTAAACAGTGTCTCGCTCTGTCACCCAGGCTAGAGTGCCGTAGCGTCAGCCTAGCTCATAGCAACCTCAAACTCCTGGGCTCAAGCGATCATCCTGCCTCAGCCTCCCGAGTAGCTGGGACTACAGGCATGCACCACCATGCCTGGCTAATTTTTTCTGTTTTTAGTATAGACAGGGTCTCACTCTTGCTCAGGCTGGTCTAGAACTCTTGACCTCAAGCAAGCCTCCCGCCTTGGCCTCCCAGAGTACTAGGATTACAGGCATGAGCCACCATACCCTGCCAGCGACTAATTCTCAATCTGTCTGTAGATCCCTCCTCCTGCACCTGTTTAATTGATGGAGTTCCTCAGAGCTCATGTATCTAGTTTCTTCCATAATCTCTTGCAAAGTGCTCTCATACATCACCACTGCTATAAGTATGGTATGTATTCCAGTGCTTCCTTAACTTATATTTCTAGTCCACGGTCTGCCTCTGGGTTGCAGATTTGTATATCATATTGTTTACTTAATAGTTCCACACGAATAAGTAATAAGCATCTCAAATTTTAATGTTTGGTTATTGTCTACCTCCTCCACTAAAATGTAAGTCCCGTAAGACCTGGGATCCTGTCTATTTTGTCCACCATTGTGAAAAACACAGATGCTATATTGTGCTTGGCTCAGAGTAGATGCTAAATAAGTATCTCAATTAAACTGATACACTGATTTATAACAGTAATGCATCTACTTCTTAGTTTCTTTTTGCAGATATAAAGTGAAATATTGAGCAGAAATCTTTTCAAAAAAGTTATAAAATTTTAATCTTAAAAATCTTGGTTACCAAGAAAAGTAATTTTGGTTATCTTTGAATGTAGGTGGTCTCCTTAAACAAGTTACACTGAATTTAGGTTGTTCTCTTTAAAATATAAAACTAACTATAATAAATAATTATATAATACTACTATTACCAAAACCACCAGCACCACCACCCTCACTTCCCATCATTTTATTACTCTAGCTCTACAGTCTCTTATCTGAAACTTTTGAGGTCAGCTGTGTGTGTGAGTTCGGAATTTTCAGATTTTTAGAAAGGTTTATTAAACACATCCCATACCTTTTGTACTTCCCTCAGTGAGATCCAAGGCAGCACCCTATAACCAACACATTAATATTCCTATAGTGAAATGTATGAATATTTATACATAGAAGGAAAAGAAAGACCATTTACATAGTCCCATACTGGTTCAGGTTAGATTTTGCCACCAAATGAGTTTGGGTGCCATAATTACAAAAGAACTTTTGCTTTTCAGAGCTTTTTGAATTATAGATTTGCAAATAAGGGCTGAGGCGGTGATGCTAGTACTGGGGAGTGGCTGCAAATACAGATTATCAGCAGCAGGGAGGTTGGACTGCACAATAAACGTAATGTGCTTGAATCATCCTGAAACCATCCCTCTCCCAACCCCTGTCCATGGAAAAACTGTCTTCCATGAAACCAGTCCCTGGTGCCAAAAAGGTTGGGGACCACTGCTCTACATCATTAATCAATAGGGAAATGTACACTACAATGAGATACCAATTTATATCCCCTAGAATGGCTAAAATTAAAAAGACTGACAAATATTGGTGGGGATGGGGAACAACTAGAACTCACACATTGCTGGTGTGAATATAAAATAATGCAAGCAGTGCCACTGAACTGTATG